CATAGGAGACATTCAAATAATTAATGGTGTCTTTCAGACAAGAGCAACTCGAAATTAAAAGACGTATACCTTTGTCCTTAAAAATGAAAGAGGAAAACATTTTTATTAAATTTTGTTCAAAACCCATCAGGGGTTGGCATTGGGTCAATGGTATCAGGCATCGTAAACTCACTTCATGTATATGAGGAGAGGTACACGCTCATCGACCGCGAAGGAGGGCTTCAAGAATTCAGCTCGGACATCGACTACAAGACGAATCGGAGGGAGGGGAGAGTGGAAAAAGGAAACAAGAAAGCTACCAAAATTGTCTAACGAGCGACAGACAGTGTTGAAAAGTGAAAAAAAACGAAGCAAATTGGACACCACAAAGACGCGCGCGCAGCAAAGCTGCCTCAGAGCACGCGTTGGCTAGTAGCCGGACGGTGAGCGGAGAAATGCGCTACTTACTGCAGGATCTCAGATGGGTTGCGTCGACTGTGAGACGGTTTGATGGGACTTCAGTGGACGAAACATCTTGTCGCTCCAAATTCCAGTCCACTTGCAGAAGATCCACATCCTTAAATCAGCACAAAAACAGAATGTTCGCCATAGAAAAAAATGTCACGTAGAGCGCTTGCTGAAGAATTCACCTAACCCATTACCTCCCATAATTTTAACCACACTTTGATTTTTGTTATGAAACTTGGATACCTATGGTAAAAAAGCGTGAGAAACACGATTAAATGGTCAGAATTTCATTTTAAATAGAAATAAACGAGATATTAGGGGATCTCATATGAGATCACTGGGATGATACGTATGCGTTTATACAGACAGATAATTACGAAAGCTCTTAATTTTTAAGTGATCTCATATGAGATCACAGAGAGGTAATGGGTTAAGGCAACGACTAGTCTCCTATTAGTGGGCTTCACGATCCCATTTACAAAGCCTATTGATTGCTCCGAGAGCCTTACAATTCATCGTTTTCCGGCTGCCTGTCCAAGAAAGTATGTTTAGGGAATATACGGCAGCTGGTGTAAAGATACGTGAACTAAATGAACCTTGGTCAAAGCTGCAGGACAAGACAACACTCTGGTAGACGGAGGAATATGGTTTCAGTGAAAAGACGGCGAGCCCAGGCTTAGTTCTCCTAGTCAGCGAGATTGCAGTTCTGCTTAGATCGAAAAGGCTTCAAACTCAAACTCAGGCTTGATTCCCCATTGATCACTCGTCGCTACACTGCCCTCAGTGTGATGTCTTTTACCCAGAGTTTCAGGCCGAAGCTGGGCGTGAGCATTCCGTTCTGCGATCAGGAAATATCGAAGTAAGTTACCTCAAAAAGACTTACTAATGCTGGTTGCAACTAACAGAACAGCACGTCTATGACTTAGATACCGGGACATCAAACTTAAAACCGGCTATACTGCGTTTTCACGTTGGTTTTTTTTTCGAGATTTGAGATTTTGGTATGGCGTTATGGCCGATCTCCTTCATTTTCAGGATTTATAAGGTCATAATTATCGGTAACTGTTCTTCTGCATAACCTGGAGTGCAATGGGGGGGGGTGCAAATATAAGTCAAGGTTCCCTGAAAAACATGAACATTTTGTAGTCTGACCAGTGAGGTGTAAAATATATGCTCAAATTAACATGGGGAAGGCGAAAATATCGAAATACCTGGAATATTAGTTCCTGAATGCGCAGCTTTTCAACCTCGTTTAGTGTACTGTCTAAAAGGTGTCAAGGAGTAAAGGAAAAGAAAAACAGCAACAGGCCAATTCGGCAAGGAGCATGCACTCAGTCTGTGCGTGATTTTTGAATCGGACAAGGAACATATGGTCGAGAAATGGTTTAAATGCCAGAAGGAATTAAAAGAACATAGGTTACAACAGGCAAACTATAAATATTCGTAGATCAATTTACTAAACGACGGGAGTCAGACAACAGGGTTGACCAAAAATAGACCGCACATCTGTTTATACAGGCAGGCATCGAATGTACTCAATAGATAAAAACAAAACACCAAAAGTGGGTCGGATGCGGTGGCTGGTGATAATAATTGCCGATAAATGGCGGTGCAAAAGCCTGACAACTTTTAAGAGGCGCGAATAGCAACCTCCTTGCCCGTAATTCAGACGACCTTCCGGATATTATTAGGATTGTGGTCAAGGCTAGGACACAGAAATTGGTAGCTCTGGTAAAATGTA